GACCTTCGTGCACTGGGGTGAGGGATGGGTCCTCAGCCTGGCCTGTGTCCTCTGGGACCCCGAGGGGGTTGGCCACCTGCTGGCTTAAGCCCGCTCCCCAGGAGAGGCTCCTGCCATTGCCACTGCACTCGCCAGCCGTGAGCCAGCTTCTGGCTTAGCGGTGCTCCCTCTGTGTGAGCGAACTGACCAGCAGGAGGCAGCTCCTATGCTGAGCATCTGCCCCCTGGCAGTGAGTGCGCATCATACAGACTGGTCGTTCTGCTTTTCTGTTGATTTGCATATTAAGGTTTTATTATATAGGATATGTAAATGATTATATTATAAAAATATATAAGAAATACTATAGATAGATAGATAGATAGATAGATAGATAGATAGATATATTAACAGTTGTACCCAAGTGGTTTCTATGAAAAGTTAAAATTTGGTAGCATTAATGATGTCAAATATATCATTCAGTCCAAAGACTAAATATCCACTATTGTTTCACTTTTTATTTTAGGTATATAGGAAAAACAAAGTTGATAGTTGAGACAGTTAATAATTAACTAAAAAATACTGAGAAAACTAACAATAATAATCTTGCTGTCATGTGCTATGTAGTTTGAATCTCTACAGAAGAACCTCAATTTTGTGTGCCACCTTTCTTTTGTATATAAATAGGTTAAAAGTCAGAGTTCAATAGACAGCACTGTCCAAGTCAGATACACAGTGGCAAAGTGGAAATTAGAATTCATAGGCTGACAGAAATGCTGAGCTGGCCCCTGGTAGAATAATAATTTATTTTCTTTGGCTTGGATTTTAAGAGTTAAAGGGTAAACCTTTAAGCTTCTCATTAGCATTTGTGAGCAACACTCCAACTAACCTCTAGAAGTACTATTAAAACAGTAAGTGCAGTTGGAGAGGAGAGCGATGACTGACAGTGCTAATGATGCTTGAATTAACAATAGAAAATTGATCTAAAATTCTCTAATAATAATTTTTAAATTCCCAAAGTAAATATCTCAAGGTATACTGACATACAGAAACAGAGAAACAAAAAAGGGGAGCTTTAAGCCTTTTACATAAAAAAAGAGAGCACTTCTGCAGGTATTAAAAAAATAAGGACATGCCAATCTGAGGTTATAAAATTGTGGTGTACATTGAATATAACTACACTCTAAACATTCCACGTACTCTAGAGTACATTTTGTCATTCACAAGCTAATTAAAGTGTTTATAAAGCAATCATAGTGCAGTGCACCCAGGACCTAGTTATGGGACACAAAGTTGAATGAACAGTGTTTTCTTTCTTTAATCACAGCCATGTATTTCAAATAATATATAACTTCAAATGCAGATCATAGTCAATGTGTAAATTTGAAGCTATTGCTGAGCATGAATCTTTATGTTTCCTATTGAAACAATTTACCACAAATATAGTAGCTTAAACAGTATGAGTTTATTAGCTTAGTATTATAGAGATCAGAAGTCTGAAAATAGGTTATTTGGGCTATGTTATTCTGGAATTTCCTGGAGAGATCTGGTTCTTTGCCTTAGCCAGCTTCTTGGGAGATTCCCTGTATTACTCCTACCTCTGCTTCCATTCTCACATTTCTTTCTCTAATTCTGACCTCTTATTACATTGGGCCTATCTGGATAACACAGAATATTCTACCCATCTCGAAAGTTTTAACTTAATTATAGCTCCCTTTAGTAATGACAGGTACATATCCTCAGTTTTTTGTTTGTTTGTTTGTTTGTTTTCTCCTGTTGCCTTTGTATCAAAGCCATTAGTGCATTTTAAATACAGAAGGTTAGGTTTTACTAATGTGAAAATTCAAGTTTCTTAAGTAAGCAACGACCAGATTAAGATGACCTAATACACAAACAACTTTTAATTTATTATTATTTTAACCCTCACTCAAGGATATGTTTCTATTGATTGAGAGAGAGCAGAGAGAGAGAGAGAGGTATGTGCCCTGACTGAGAATTAAGACCACAGGACAATGCTCCAACCTATTAAGCCACCTGGCCAGGGCAAGAAAACTGTTTTGATACAACACAAAATCTTTGCTTTCTTAACAGAAAACTTTTTAGTTATCTTACTAAAGGCAGACCAATAGTACAAGTAAATTTTGAATATTAAGTTTTAATACACAATTGATATTAAACCTTATTTTTAAAACCCCTTCTAACAAATGTATTCAATCTTATCCAGCTTTATCACACATAAAATTTCTTTCTCAATATTTATTTTCATAAGAGAATTTAGAAGATGGCAGTGTAGGTAAGCACTTGTACTCACCACCTCCCACAAAAACCTGAAAATTACAATTAATCTGGATGATACAGGACAACTATCATCCAGAACCATGGGAAAGCTGGCTGAATGGAGGTCTTACAATTAGAAAAGTAAAGAAAAAAGCACACACTGAGACTAGTAGGGGGTGCAGAGGCACGGAATGGGTAAAACTTACAAGGTTCTGCTTCCTCTGAGCTCCAGCACCAGGGCGAGACCCTGGGGAACACAGACACAGGCACATACCAGGAGGAACTGGATTATCTGGCATCAGGGCAGGAATTTGAGGATGACTTTCTCTCAAACTGGAGGTGCTCAAAAGGATAATTGTTCCTAAACTAGCACTTCCCTGGTTGAGTTGCAGGGCTGACTGGCAGCTATCTCTGTTTGCTTTTCCCTGGTGAGTCCCTAAGACCCCACCTGATCTCATTTACAACCCCATCCAAGCTGTGTGCAGCAGCTTTTACATATGAATGGCCTGATCCTTGCTCAGGGTAAAATCTCTCAAGCAAGCTGCAGCTGGGTCAGGGAGCCCCAAACCTATCCATAAGAAGCCCAAGACCCAGCACCAGCACCTGTCTGCCTTGATTCATAGAGGGGCCTCATCTGGGCACTTCCAAACCTGATACAAATAGGAAAAATCTTCAGTACTCTCTGCAGTTCCTGCTGGGTGGCCTCCGGCAGTGGCTGACTTTGCACCTCCCTGGAGACCCAAGAGCCAGTGTACCCAGTGGTCAGTGTCAGACCATACCAGATTACAACTCTGCACACACATAAGTGACACACCCAAAGGGCACACTCAGCGAGCACTAAAGCCCCACTGAAGCAGTTCCTACTCCACAGGGGTGTCTCCTGCACAGCAGTTCTCCGACTGTATTTGCAGCTGGTCCTCACAGCCAATTGGTCCAGTGACATCAACAGCAATTCAGTCTCAAATACAATAAGATGTGCTCACAGCCCTCACAGGGATGCACCTGGAGTTCCCAGCTCACGTGACTGGGGAGGCTGAGCCCCTGAGACCTCTAGAACACCTACTACACAAAGCAACTCGACCAACTCGAGGAGACATAGCAGCTCTACCCACTACGAACACAGGGAAGCAGCCAAAATGTAGAGACAAAGAAACATGTCACAAATGAAAGAAGTAGAAGAAAGCAAACTACTGGATTAAAGAGTTATAAGGTTTAGAAACCTCCAAAAATATATATATATATATAAATAAAAAATGGAAAGGACCAGTCAGAAATTAAGCATACACTGACTGAAATAGAGAATAATATACACAGATTCAGTATATACAGTAGAATAGAGGATTCTGAGAATCAAATAAATGATTTGAAATATGAGAAAGCAAAAAACACTCAATGAAAAGAGAAAAAAGAAAAAAAATTCAAAAATATGAAGATAGTGTAAGGCATCTCTGGGACAACTTCAAGCTTACCAACATCAGAATTATGAGGGTGCCAGAAGCTAGAGTAAGATAGTGAAAACCTATTTGATCTCAACTGATTGGAATGTTTCTCATAATTGCTATGGTAAGTTTAGGCTATAATATCCTTTAGGGCTGGCATCAATTTCATAGGACCCCACAGTAAGTGGAGCTTAGCCCACATTGCTGTCTGGCCATATTTTGGAGCTTCCAACCTAACAGTTACCAAGCCAACTTTTTTGGACATAAAATTTTTAGGTTGTCTTTAGTTAAGATTTTGCCTTTGTTCCTTTCCTGTTATTTCCTTAAGTATAGGACAATTGTATTTCCAATGTCTTGAGTTTTTATAATATCTGCCAATGTTCAAAAGCAAATAGGAAGGGATCTGAATGGACTTTGGTTTTCATTCTCATTTCTGTCCTTCCACCTTATTGAGGACTAGAGGCCCGATGCACAAAATTCGTGCAAGGGACTCGGCCCTCACAGCCCCAGCTACCTCGTGGTCCCACTGCAGCCCCAACCCCCTGCCCATTGGTTGTTCCGGAAAGTCGTTCCACCATCCAACCTAATTAGCATATTAATTCTATTATATAGGATATTTTAGTGAGTAGCCATTGTAACAATGAGAGAGTTCTTTAAATTTCTTTTAAATTTAGAGCTTTTTCAGGTTGACAGGATCTATTGCCTTAAGTCAGATCTTAATAGTGACTCAAGTTAATATGAGTGCATGAATGCAAGAAGCATCCCCAAAGGAAAGTGCAAAAAATTGCAACCCTCGAAAGATATAGTTAACTCTCAGAGTTAGAAACAACCATTCCAAAACACAAAGAATTATGTATTCCCCTGTTTCTACTGGGGTGTTTAGATTCTCTAAACTCATATCCGCAGCCTACTCCACTACCTGCCAGATGTATATGCATCCTTAGATGGGGAGAACACAAAAATGAGGTGCCCCGTTTTTACCATCTCTGGGAGGAAATGGATAGACAAAGAAAACTCCCTTGAGAGCTTGGAGTGGCTGACCAGAAAGCAAGCTGCACCCCCGCAAGTGCACTCTGTATGGTGGAGGCCAGAGAGGAAATATTCTCACTGGTCATAAAGGCTAAGCTCTCAGGACATATGACAAGATGAAAGGAGAGACACCAGACACACAGAGAAAAGGAGAATTAACCAAATCCAGGAGTACTCATACCAAGTAACCAAGAGTGAATAAACCCACAAAACGAGTTTCACAAATATACTCTCCTGTGAATCTATATTTAGTAAAAAAGGAAGAAAAAGGACTCCTACCATTGTGCTTCCTCTGAAGTCTGGAGACAGATATCTGGGCGTCTGGCTTGGCAAAAATTCTTATCGTTCTGGCTGGCTCATGCTAGTGGTTCTGGGATCTCTCTGTTGCAGCAGCTTCAGGGTGAACAATGCCCAGCGGTGAGGTATCCTCCTCATAGTCAGTACTTTCAAATGCCTGTTGCAGAGTAGATTCTCTTAATGTGGCTGCTATCACTTGTTATAAAGTAATATAGAAACTACATATTTTACCCAAAGGATGCATTATAAAGAATTCATTTTTATATCTATACTAGAGGCTCAATGCACAAAAATTTGTGCAAGAGTAGGGCTTCCTTCCACTGGCTGCCAACACTGGCTTCCCTCAAGCACCAGCTTCCCTCTGGCACCTGGGACCGGGGCTTCCCTACTCCGGCTGCCAGCAGGCACCTGGGACCTGGTTGCTTCCCTCTGGCCCGGCTTCGTCAGAAAGGGCGTCGGAATGACATTTGTTCTCATTAGGATATTGCCCTTTTATTATTAAAGACAAAAGATCCAGAAAAAAATATTGCTTCTTATACTGTGATATACAAATGAACAGTCTGTCCCTTTTTTTCTATACAAGTCTATCTGCTAAATGTTATTAGTATACAGTATGTAAAATATAAGGATTCATAGCGAACAGAGAAAAATTAATATATTTGCTCTAAGAAAAAATAAATAAGATTCTGGCTATAAATTGTCAAGGTTTAGTTGATATGTAATAATTATATAGCAATTGGCATAATAAAGCCTTTATTTCTATGCTCTTTCTTTCCTTCAAGACTAAGAAAATGAACACTAGCTTTAACTCCCCTGTTAGATTAAAAAGGGAGGTATAATGATCAATATTAATAGAAAAAATTGATTTGTTTTTCTGCCTCTCTAGATAGACACACTTATTCATCTGGTCAACAGATATTGAATGCATAGAAAAGCCTGACATAGGTGTGGTAGTGGAGCTACAGAATGAAGTATATTATGATGGCTACTTATGAGTTAAGAGTCAGTGATCTAAAAATCTTCAACAAGAATGGAACTAAATGTGAATTATAATGATAGGAACACAAGTGAAACTTAGAGTGCTTGCAATAACAAGATTAAGTAAAAAGAGCAGAAATTTTATATTTTAATTGTGTATGCTGTAATCTTTTTTTTTTTTTTTTTAATCTTTGTTGTTGAAGGTATTACATATGTCCCCCTTTTCCACCATTGGCCTCTCCAAGCCTGCCCCCACCTCCCAACTCAGGCTCTCACCACCCTATTGTCTGTGCTCCTGGGTTATGCATATATGCATACACGTTCATTGGTTGATCTCTTCCCAGTCCTCCTCTTTTGCCTTCCCTCTGAGGTTTGAAGGTCTGTTTGGTGCTTCTATGTCTTTGGGTCTATTTTGTTCATCAGTTTATGTTGTTCATTAGATTCCACATGAGTGAGATCATGTGATACTTACCTGTCTCTGACTGACTGGCTTATTTCGCTTAGCATAATGCTCTCCAGGTCCATCCATATTGTTGCAAATGGTGAGTTCTTTCTTTTTTTTACAGTTGGGTAGTATTCCATTGTATAGATGTACCACAGTTTTTAAATCCACTCATCTGCTGATGGGCACTTAGGCTGTTTCCAAATCTTAGCTATGGTAAATTGCCCTGCTATGAACACAGGAGTGCATATATTCTGATTGGTGTTTTTGATTTCTTAGGGTATATTCCTAGAAGTGGGATCACTGAGTCAAATGGGACTTCTATTCTTAATTTTTCTTTTTTTAAAGGAAATTCCATATGGTTATCTACAGAGGCTGCACCGTCTGCATTCCCACCAGATGTGGACAAGAGATCCCTTTTGTCCACATCCTTGTCAACACCTGTCATTTTGTTGATGATAGCCATTCTGACAGATGTGTGGTGATATCTCATTATCATTTTGATTTGCATCTCTCAGATGATTAGTGACTTTGAACATTTTTTCATATGCCTCTTGGCTTTCTGAATGTCCACTTTTGAGAAGTGTCCATTTAGGTCCTTTGCCCATTTTTTAATTGGGTTATCTCCCTTTTAAGTGGAATGAGTTCCCTATACATTTTATAGATTAACCCCTTATCAGATGTATTATTGGCAAATATGTTCTCCCATGTAGTGGGCTCTCTTGTTATTTTGTTGATGGCTTATTTGCTGTGCACAAGTTTATTTTGATGTAGTCCCATTTGTTTATTTTATCCATAGTTTCTGTTGTCCTAGAAAATGTATTGGTAAACATATTGGCAGGACATATGTCGGATATTTTGCTGTCTATAGATTCTTCTAAGATTTTTATGTTTAAGTCCTTTATCCTTTTTGAGTTTATTTTTGTGTATGGTGTAAGTTGGTGGTCTAGTTTCATTTTTTTTCTTTTGCACGTATCTGTCATTTTAATGATGTTGATTCTACCAATTCATGAACATGGTATATTCTTCCACTTGTTTAAACCTTCCTCAATCTTTTTTAATGTCCTGTGGTTTTCAGAATACAGATCTTTTTAACTCCTTGGTTAGGTTTATTCCTAAGATTCTTAATTTTTTGTTGCAATAGTAAATGGGATTTTGTGTGTGTGTGTGTGTGTGTGTGTGTGTGTGTGTTTAGTTTCTCTGAGATTTCATTATTGTTGTATAAAAAAGCCATCAATTTCTGGGTATTAATTTTGTATTCTGCTACGTTGCTGTGTATGCTTTAATCTTAATTGGAAAAAATGGGGAAAATAAATTGGAATATTATAACCTGATGATATTTTCAGTGCTTAAAAGATTCCCTTTTCATGAACTTTATATTAACTATTGCTGGGTGAAGATGGATAAATATGAATTAGCAAATATTTAATTACATATACTTCAATTCACAATAATTTAATTAGTAACTCATTCAATACATATTTATTAAGCCTTTGCTACATTCCAGGTAGTGGAAATACAAGCTGAAACAAACAAACAAACAAAAAGGCCAGAGACAGAAAAGCATCGATCAGACTGTTAAACCTTAGAGGGGAGGTAGGGGATGGTGGGTATAAGGGGGAGAGATCAACCTAAGGACTTGCATACATGCATATAAGCATAACCAATGGACATAGACACCATGGGGAGTGGGGGTGTGAGGGGGGAGGAGTGCGGGTAACAGAGGGTGGAGGCAATGGGGGCTTAAGGACACATATGTAATACCTTTCTCAACAAAAAGGAAGGGCTTTTGCTTTCATGGAGTTTATATCCCAGGGAACTAATATAATATGTTCTGACACCCTACTAGGGGTGTCGAACTCAATCAGAGAAGGGGCCAAAATCTAAAATCCAGCCTAAATCGCGGGCCGAATGGTTTACTGAACAGTCATAAACTGTCATTGTGATGGAAACGCAGCGGAGTGCAGTGATGACAGCGCGGTGCGGGCCACTTTGCAAGGCCTGGCGGGACGGATTTGGCCCGCGGGCCTTGTGTTTGACACATGTGGGCCTACACACTTCACTCCATTTTCATGCTAATCTCAGCCAACAAGGACAGTACTAAAAAAAGAGAAGGTATGTTTCAGGCTGGATATTCTTCAACTCTGTACTTCTGTGCAAGGGCCTTAAGGCAGCTTTGCCACTAGGTTTACATATTACACACGTTGCTTCAACGTTATGCCTTGTTTCCTCCTCTGTCTGTAAAAGGGAGCAGGAACAGTTGGGCTCTGCTAGAGACTAAATAAGATGATGTGCGTTGAAATGTTCAGCAGTGATTCATACAACGGCTTTTGCTCTGTGGTTCCAACATGTACCTGCTTACTGGAACCTGGGGATCTTTAAAAACATCTCCAACCCCAGGCCACGCAACCCTGATCTCTGAGGATGGGACTTAGGGGGCAGCAGCTTTGGAACTCTCCAGGCGGCTTCAATTCGCAGACTGGGTTATGGATGCCTCCTGATAGCATTTGTCCATCTCCCTGTCTTTTTATCTGTAGTGTAATGAAAGTCAGATCATCGAGATGCACATTTCTCTGTCCCACCCTGTGACTTTAGTCTACATTCTTTCACATCTTCAAGGGGTAAGAGGGAGTCCAGACCTCCCCAGACTCCCCATATTGGGAGGGATTTGAGGACTAACCCTTGCACCTGAGGCTCCTGCCCTGCGGGGCCAGCCGGAGGAGAGAGGATGAGCTGGGGCACTCAGGCCTGCCGGGGGCGCTGGGCGCAGCGCGCAGAGGCCTCCGACTCGCCGAGAGGGAAGGTCTGCCGCCGCCTCGCTCCCTGGGGAGCCGCGCCTGCCCGGCGCTCCGCTGCGGTGGGCGCTGTCCACCTGCGCGCCCTGCACCCCGCCACCCCGCCGCGCCGCCCGGAGGCCTCCGCAGCCCCGGGCGCGAGCGGGACCCGCCGCCATGGACCCCGGGCCTGCAGGCGCCGCTGGGCCCGCGGAGCCGGGGCCTGGCGTGCGCGGCGCGGGCCCCGCGGCCCCGGCCTCCTCGCTGGCGGTGGCGGCCGTGCTGCCGGCCGGCGGGAGCGGGGAGCGCATGGGCGTCCCCACCCCGAAGCAGTTCTGCCGGGTCCTGGAGCGGCCGCTCATCAGCTACACCCTGCAGGCCCTGGAGAGGTAACCACGCTGCCGCCGGCGCGCCGCCCTGCTCCTTCCTCCTCCTCCTCCTCCGCCTCCGCCCTCCGCCCAGGCCCGCCCGCCCGCCCGCGACGCCTTCCCCTGCGGCCGCCCCCGCGCGGCGCCTTGTCCTGGCCGCGGAGGGCCGGCCGCGCGGCGCAGCCCCCGGAGCGTGGGCCCCATCCCTGCCCTGGGCCCGCGGGCCGGAGCCCGGAGGAGGCCGGGCCTGGGACATGGCGGGGAAGGGCTGAGGGCCCACGGGGTGGGCGGAGAGACATCAGTTCTACCTGTGGCCGCTGTGGCCCAAGGAGAAGCGGGGCCAGGACTCTCCTGGTCGCTGCCCGTCCCTCCTGGGGCCTCGCCCGTGCCCACCTTCCCGCGCCCAGGCCTTCTCCCCGCGGCACATGCGTGCTCTTGCCCGCCCGCCCGCCTGCGCATGCGCAGGGGTTCCAGGGCCTTGGCTCATTCACTTAAAAAAAAAAAACCACCACATTTTATCGAGAGGGGGAGAGAGAAATAGAGAGTTAGAAACATCGATGAGAGAGAACCATTGACCAGCTGCCTCCTGCACACGCCCTTTCCCCCCTGGGGATGTGCCCTCAACCAAGGTACATGCCCTTAACTGGGGTCGAACCTGGGACTTTTCAGTCCGCAGACCGAAGCTCTATGAGTCTATCCACTGAGCCAAACTGGTTTCAGCTGCTCATTCGTTTTTACCCATGCATTCACCAACACTAACTGAGCAATGCATATAATATTTGCATATTACACCATATAATGCTAATTAACTAGGTGCTGATGTTGGCCTGGGGAGAATGGAATCCAAGTTGTTCTTAAGGGAGAGGGAGAGAAAGAGAGTGAGAAGAGCATCAGTGATGAGAGAGGATCCATAATGGGCTGCTTCCTGCACGCCCCACCCTGGGGATCAGCCTGCAACCTGGGCATGTGCCCTAATGGAGAATTGAACTGTGGCCCCCTGGTTCATAGGTCCGCGCTGAACTACACTGGGGCTGATGTGTGTCTTTTGATGGATGAAACTGATTTAAGAGTTCTTCTTTGAGGCCAGCACATGCCTTATTTTATTAGGAAAAGGGGCTGATTAGCTAGTTGGGAAAATGAAGGAGAGACAGGGATGGGATGACGAGGATTAGAAGAATTGTAGTGTGGAGCTAAGGACATGAGAAGAGGGGTATGCTATTTTATTAACCTTGTTTTTACCACCTGGTAATGAATGTGAGGGAGCATGGGATGAGGTTCAAGGTGGGGGAACTGGGATTGCAAAGATCCACATTCGTGTCCTTGAGGTGTTGAAGCTTCTTGAAGCTAGTGGGGAGCTTTGATAGTATTTTAAACCTTTGGGTTGATGTGAGATGTTTGAATTGAAGTAGATGACATCTTTTAGCATAGCCTTTGCTGGCAGCTTTAAGGAAAAGGAAGTGAGATTCTAGTCAAAGGATAGTAGCATGTTATGCCCCAAATTCCCCCTCCTCTCCCCACCCCAATGCTTTCACACACTGAAGAAGCCAGAGGGCCCAAGTTGCTTTGCATATTGTTATTTTACTCTTTTTTAAATATTGTCATTTGCAAAGTGGAATTGTAAAGAGCCTTAATCACCCTTGATTCATGTAATCTGCCCTGTGGTTATATCTGAAACTCATAAAAACATTGAAACAGTTCCAAGTGCTTCCTCTCTTCCTTCTGTAGTCTTCCATTTCTCTCTGTAGTTGAGGGTGGGCTCTTTGAAACCATTGTATGGATCAGGCACCTACAATATTCTAGTGTGACAGACATTGTGACAGTAGCTCATTTATGCAGATATCTTATGGAACAGAATGGATCTTGGCCAGCAGGATTTTTATCTATTTAGTAATTAGATGTAGGGGAGTATATGTTGACATTTAACTTTTTTTTTCTATGAAAACTTACATATTGGTTTGCAGGTTTGCATCTTAACTTCTGAGGCAGCCTGAGATAGGTACTAAAAAAAATACAAAGTAAAACCAACTTTTAAACTAAAATAATGTTCTTGGAAGGCCTTGTTTATGGAAAATGCAATATTTGTTTTCCATTTTTATTTAATTGATAACAGCAGTCATAAATCCTAGTGGTAACTAACCAAAACCTTTATTTGAAATACACCAGGGCTCATTTTTCTCACTATTACAATGCATGAAGAACTATGGAATATTATATTTGGGATATATCTCAGGAAATCCTTGCAAACCTTGCATTTCAGGGGTATATGTATTGGTGCTTGTAAGCTATTTGCCAAATGGAAGCCATTCTCTTGGTAAAAGTTGGAATGTATACATGGCTGATAGTTTTTTTGTTTGTTTGTTTTTTTAATAGCCTGGTGCTAAAAGGCCTAGGATATTTCATCCCCTGGGATAAATTATACAAGTTCTAATAAGGAAAGGACATGGAAGCATAGAGTGTCTTTTAAAACTCTTAGGAGAAATTATGCATGCTTACTACTCTGTGTTCTATATAAAAAGAGATGTAATTGGTTGTCATCACTGTCAATCATCCAGGTGCTATTAAGAAGGTGTCAGCTCTCTTTGCCCTTTAAGAGTTATGAGTATGTGATGTCCAGAGTTTGCTTTTGCCTTTCATACCGTAGTTAGGATTTTCCTTGCTCAAGATTTGCTATCTCTTTAATAGAAGGTTGAGATGTTTTTATGAGTAGTTTTTATTTCTTAGTTCTCTTTTGACTAAAAAATTAAAGATACTTTTTGAAAAAGAACCCTTATGAGTTGATTTTCTTTTCTGGAATTTTGAACCAACAAATTCTTTAGGGTTTAGGATTAAGAAGGAGGGCAATCCTCAAAATTTGGCCCCATATTTCTGAATTGGAATAGGAAAATGTGAAGAAACATCAACAGTTTTGCTTTTTAACAATGCCATTTACACTTGTTAATTTCCACTCCTTCACTTACCCACTCAAAGGGACTAAAAATTTATAGCCATTTTTAATGAATGCAAGAGGAAGTAGAGCAGATAAAAGATAAAAGTCTAGAAGAAAGAAAGGTGATAAAGGTATGTTAACCAATCAGACTTAACAGATCCAAGAAAGTGGAAATTTAAGCTCTCAGCTAGAATATCCATGAAGAAGCAAGATGATTGGTCATAGAACCTTTAAATGGTTCAGGAATTAGAGGTACATGTATTAGAGGTATATGTAATAATATATTCTATATATATAATAGACTAATATGCAAAGTGTCCCCTAGGGAGTTTGACCAGGAGTTTGATCCCTTGCTATGACATGCACTGACCATCAGGGAGTGGTGCAGAATGAAGGAAGGCCTAATGCAGCAGCTGGAAGGCCCCAATTGGCCCTGATCGCCGGCCAGACCTGTGCACTGATTTCGTTATATATAAAGAACCTGTTCATATGTAATTTAGAAGTTGGAAGAAATATTGAGAGAAAAATTTATCTTTTGTATCAACTGGAACTTCATATTGTTTTTGTTTGTTTTGTGTTTTTCTGCTGGTGAATTTGGAAAAAATACACATTTTTCTAGATTAGCCAAGTTCTACTTGTGTGTAATTTCTTAGATACCAGTTTATCAGATTAAATGAGATTCAAAATAATCTCTGACCCTTACAAATCTGATGTATTTGGCTAAAGCACATGTGTCAAACACAAGGCCCGCGGGCCAAATCCGTCCCGCCAGGCCTTGCAATGTGGCCCGCACCGCGCTGTCATCACTGCACTCCGCTGCGTTTCCATCATAATGACAGTTTATGACTGTTCTGTAAACCATTCGGCCCGCGATTTAGGCTGGATTTTAGATTTTGGCCCCTTCTCTGATTGAGTTCGACAACCCTAGGCTAAAGGCTCTATCTGGACAAATGGAGACTAAAAGTATATCTAAAGCAGTTGTGTTGAGGTACATCCTCCTTCCTATATAATAAAAGGCTAATACGCAAACTGACTGAACAGTGAAACGGCTGGTCACTATGACTGATGCGCACTGACCACCAGGAGACTGACGCTCAATGCAGGAGCTGGCCCCTAGTGGTCAGTGCTCCTCAGACAGGGCCTCCGTGCCTCCACAGCAGTCAGACATCCCCCAAGGTGTCCCGGACTGAGAGAGGGCGCAGGCTGGGCTGAGGGACCTCCCCCACCCTCCACAGTGCATGAATGTTGTGCACCGGGCCTCTAGTTTATTATAATTATTCATTATGTACATATGTATAGACGTGTAAAAATGGATGTATATGTTTATATACGTTCATATATTTTCTATATTAATCTTATGCAACTTGTTCAGATCAGTACATTATGGTTATGATTAAAAGAATCAAGAATAACAACTAATTTATAGGTTGTATTAGAAACAAGGGTTTTTCAGAAGTTGATTAAAGTTTCTAGGAGTTTGAAAATTTCATTTTGGCCTTTTAGAAGGAATTGCAATTAAATTATTGAGCCACAGATTGTATAACTTGAAGAGAACTTTTGATTTTTCTCATTTTACTAACAAGGAACCGAGATCAAAGGTATTAATCTCTTACACAATTATTACTTTATGACTTGAGTTTCTAAAAGGAAATGTTGCTCTAAGAAAAGAAATCCTGGGAAAGTGGTATTATTGGCAGGGGCATAAAGCTCTGACAGTTAAATTGTAAAATTGGCTCACAGCTGAGAGACTCATACATCTAAATTTTACTTTAAAAGAAAGTATTTTGGGATCTTAAGGAGGAAGTAAAAATTTCTGCCAGTAATCTAATTTTTGGCTTTAAATATCTAAGGAAAGAAAGTATCATTAAGGAAGGTTAGACAACCTGGACTAGCTAAACAGATTAAAATGGCAAGTTAAAGATGCAAGCTAAAACAAGTTAAAGATGCAGATTTTGGCTTATTGAGATTTTTGGCAGTGGTGGTGGGCTGGGTGGGGTGATAATTCTTGACAATAGACTTGAACGATATCTGGCATAGCCTTCCCCATATTTCCTGAACTTTCTCCAGTTCTCTTAGGTGGGGGACACTGCTTAAAATAACTTGTTCCTTGATAGATTCCCATGCTCATCAAAACCTTATTATAAATTGGCTTCCCATACAAATCTTCTGTAGGAGGAAAATGTGCTGTCCCACTAACAAAAAGCATTCCAGATGCTGTGAAAGTAATGTATATCATTTTATATTAAAAGCTTGGCATTCTAATTCATGTTTTAGTCCTTCATTAGTTTGGTTAATATGAGTTAGTCTTGAATCTGGTAACTCGAGATGAATTTGAAAAGAAAAAAAAATCTGTCTTATCCATTTATTATATGTTTATTATGGAAACTCAATTTTGTGTTTGAGATTGGGTTGCTTTCTTACCACTTTAAAAATAAGTGAGAGCCCATTTTCACTAAATGTTTTAAGACTCCATGGTATGTCTTTCTATTAATT